TTGACGCATATGTTCATTCCTATTTTGTGTCATTTTCCTTCAAATGGTCCATTGGCTTTCGCTCTTGCTTTTACTTCGTTTGTATGCAAACGTGTAACATCTATTTCTTGACTACAAATCAAATCTTTATAGACCACAGTGTCCATATTCCCGAAAGTTTGTTTGTTTGCAGTCCAGACAATCCACCCTATGTTCTCTGCCAGCTAGCGTTTGTTGTAATTGATGAGTTTTTTTTTAATCATTAGCTAACGTCGCGTCGATAGTTTAACGGTTAGCATTTTTGTCCAAGTATTATGTCAGGGTTCGACTCCCGGTCGACGCAGATGTGCGTTATGTGTGCAAACGCGTTATTCTTTGTTGACTACGAATCAAGCCTTGTCCATATTTTCGAATGATTGTTTGTTTACATTCCAGGCTATTTACCCTATTTATTACCGAAACCAGTTACAAATTAGCTGGCATATCCCTCTCAACCAGATAGCTATTTTGCTATTCTCTTGCCATCAGCTGTTATCTTGTCTCAGCTGTTATTCTATCATAACTTTAAAATTTAACGTTCACGGCAGCGGCCGCCACAGCTCAGTGGTATCGTAACTAGTCGAACTATAATTTGTGAATGTTTATCAACGATAACGTCGGCGTCGATGGTGTAACGGTTAGCATTGTTGCCTTCCAAGCAATACTACGTTCCGGTGTCCGCCATCTTGGTTCACATACTTCGGGAGTACCTTTGTTTGTTTACATTCCCGGTTTACTCCCGGTCGACGCAGAGAATAAAATCGACTACAAAAAAAAAGACATTCTTTAGTTTAGATCAGGGGTGGCCAACCTTTCACATACCATGCGCCACGTTTTAAACATAATGTTTCAGATGCGCCGTAAATCTCTTGTATACCCACGCCTAATGTCCGCTTCTTGTTGAAATTATATAAATTTATAATACACACACATATATGTAGTTTTTACAATTTACAACTTCACATGAATACATTAAGCAAGGAAGTATAATAAATAAAACTAATCAATTTTATTTAAGTACCGCCTTTATGAGACTTTTGCTGCTGTTTTACTTTCGCCAGTTTTTTCATTCTTGGAGTTAAGTTTGTTACTGAGAGGAGCAGTGCATTCTTCAAATTTAAATCTGTAAGTCTTGACCTCGCTTTGCTTTTAATTAGTTTCATGGCAGAAAATGTTTGTTCACATCTATATGTCGTTCCGAAACGACATATAAAACCCTGGGCAAATTTTCTCAGTTCTTTAGTATCAATATCTACACTACTCTACCCTCGATTCTAATTGGCCTTTGCAAATCAGCTGTTTGGCCTAGCGTCGCGTAATTTTACTTCAAGCTTCTTCGAGATTAGTACTTGCGTCACAGCAAGCGAATTTTACGCTTCGCTTTTGTTGACAACGGTCATTTGAAGTTTGGATGAAAAAGGTGGTATTTAGGGGTCATTTTCAGCATGTTGTGGGTTGATTTATAATAAATTTTTTAGGTTTGGGCAATTCAACTGGTTGTTCAATGGTTATTGGGAGATATTTGGGAAGTCTGGGCAATGGAAAATCGATGTTTCAAGCTGATAAATGACGATTTTCTATTTTTCCAAAAGTTTTGAACTTTTACTTCAGTAGGGAAAAAATAGTAAATTTTACTAATTTTTTGTAAAAGTCTAAAATGAATGTCATAAAGTCCGTCCAAAAGCTAACGTCGATAATCGCCTGTTGTTTCTAATTCCAACAAGCCGTAAGTGGGCGACGTGGAGTAAGGAGAATAGATATAAGTACAATCAAAAGTCACCATGTAAATCGCAAAAAAACGGCTTGGCGTGGAGAAGCCAAGTGCCATTAACAATTTTGGCATGAAAAGGGTTAAAGATGCAATGCGCCACCTCTAATCATGCAATGCGCCACGTTTGGCGCATGCGCCATAAGTTGGCCACCCCTGGTTTAGATAATCGCCATACTTGTTTGAGCTTGCGCTATTTCACGTGGGTGTATTATCATATTTTCGCGTTTTTTTATGTTTAGATTCATGCCGTAATTTTTTCTCCCTCTTTTCCCTATACAGGTAGTTCTCGACTTACGACGTTGTCCGTTTTCGAAACGCGTTGTAACCCGAATTTCAGTGTATGTCGGGACAACCAAAATGGCGTACAGTATCACTGGAACTGTGTATCAGGTGACTGAAGCTTAGTGATTATTCGTTCATAATCGTAATAGTTCGCAATTGTCCACGTCGTTTACGATGTAAATAACAAAAACCAATGAGCCCAAAGCACTGATATTCTTGATCACAATGAGCCAGTTTAAGGCTTAGATATTACAGTACAGTAATATATTTTATATTTTTAGGAAGTGCGTTCGTAACATCGAAACAGCGTTATGGAGTGCGCGTTCGTAACCTCGAAACAGCTTAAGTCGCGACCATCGTAACCCGAGGACTCCCTGTATATTTATACGATAATCTGCTTTCCATATCATGCCCTGATGAAGCTTTTATGAATATAAATTAGAAACGTCGGCAAATTAAATCGTTTTGCTAACACCGGTTGGGCTTTATTTATCATCGACTCTAATTGGTGAAAGTTTGTCAGTTGTTTCAAATTCATAAGCAACGAAAAGCCACCAGTGAGGATCGAACTCACGACCCCTGGTTTACAAGACCAGTGCTCCAACCACTGAGCTATGGCGGCCACTTCCAAGCAAGGCTATAATGCAACTTATCACTTCACAAAGTAATAGCTGGGTTGTTTCATCTTTTTGTTTTGAGCCGACGTCAATTAGTAATCTGAGCTACGATGGCAATTTATTAGTTGATGCCATTCTTCATCTTAGTGTTTGACTGGTTTGCCTATCGTAGTTATATGGCAAACAAAGTATCTTGTCCAGATAAGATACGAGAATAGTAGCCAGATAGTTATTTGCGACATATTAAAAGAATTTAATATAAAATCTATATTAGATTAGATGACACATGAAATTTCACGGGCGCAATACACCGTAATGAAGATGGATAAGTGGAAGAGCCTGAAATGTAAACAGACAGTCTGTGATATGGACTCTGAGGTCCTATAAAGACATGCTTCCTGGAGGTCCAACAAGAGTCTGTTTAACGCGATCATCTGTTAAAGAACGAAAGATTGAAACAGGAGCGAAAGATCATGGACTGATTTCACTAAAAATGACTCCTAACGCAGAAATATTAAAAACTATATTGGCGCAAACGAATGCTTATTTGCTTCGATCGGGAGTCGAACCCGGAACTATCGCTTGGAAGGCAACAATGCTAACCGTTACAACATCGACGCCGACGGGGAATTTGTTGCACTTAACCGACATATACAATCGTTTCAGTCTGACGGATCTCGACCTACTAATTGTAGAAAACATGGTAAATAGTTAAGTTAACAGGAAACAATTTTTTGACTTTGTTAATTCGATAATGTTTGTCGATGGTGTAACTGTTAGCATTGTTGCCTTCCAAGCAATAGTTCCGGGTTCGACTCCATGTTGACGCATATGTTCATTCCTATTTTGTGTCATTTTCCTTCAAATGGTCCATTGGCTTTCGCTCTTGCTTTTACTTCGTTTGTATGCAAACGTGTAACATCTATTTCTTGACTACAAATCAAATCTTTATAGACCACAGTGTCCATATTCCCGAAAGTTTGTTTGTTTGCAGTCCAGACAATCCACCCTATGTTCTCTGCCAGCTAGCGTTTGTTGTAATTGATGAGGTTTTTTTAATCATTAGCTAACGTCGCGTCGATGGTTTAACGGTTAGCATTTTTGTCCAAGTATTATGTCAGGGTTCGATTCCCGGTCGACGCAGATGTGCGTTATGTGTGCAAACGCGTTATTCTTTGTTGACTACGAATCAAGTCTTGTCCATATTTTCTAATGATTGTTTGTTTACATTCCAGGATATTTACCCTATTTATTACCGAAACCAGTTTCAAATTAGCTGGCATATCCCTCTCAACCAGATAGCTATTTTGCTATTCTCTTGTCATCAGCTGTTATCTTGTCTCAGCTGTTATTCTATTATAACTTTAGAATTTACCGGCAGCGGCCGCCACAGCTCAGTGGTATCGTAACTAGTCGAACTATAATTTGTGAATGTTTATACACGATAACGTCGGCGTCGATGGTGTAACGGTTAGCCTTGTTGCCTTCCAAGCAATACTATGTTCCGGTGTCCGCCATCTTGGTTCACATACTTCGGGAGTACCTTTGTTTGTTTACATTACCGATTTACTCCCGGTCGATGCAGAGAATAAAATCGACTACAAAAAAAGTCATTCTTTAGTTTTGATAATCGCCATATTTGTTTGAGCTTGCGCTAATTCACGTGGGTGTATTATCATATTTTCGCGTTTTTAGATTTTAGATTCATGCCGTAATTTTTTATCCCTCTTTTCCCTATACAGGGAGTCCTCGACTTACGACGTTGTTCCGTTTTCGAAACGCGTTGTAACCCGAATTTCAGTGTAAGTCGGGACAACCAAAATGGCGTACAGTATCACTGAAACTGTGTATCACGTGACTGAAGCTTAGTGAATATTTGTTCATAATCGTAATAGTTCGCAATTGTCCACGTCGTTTACGATGTAAATACCAAAAACCAATGAGCCCATGAAATGTAAACAAACAGTCTGTGATATGGACTCTGAGGTCCTATAAAGACATGCTTCCTGGAGGTCCAACAACAGTCTGTTTAACGCGATCATCTGTTAAAGAACGAAAGATTGAAACAGGAGCGAAAGATCATGGACTGATTTCACTAAAAATGACTCCTAACGCAGCAATATTTAAAATTATATTGGCGCAATCGAATGCCCAATTGCGTCGACCGGGAGTCGAACCCGGAACTATTGCTTGGAAGGCAACAATGCTAACCGTTACACCATCGACGCCGACGGGGAATTTGTTGCACTTAACCGACATATACAATCGTTTCAGTCTGACGGAACTTGACCTACTTGAAACCGCCTCGCATTTGTTTTCGTTTATTTCACACTTGACTGATTTTGTGATTTGCGTTTTCTGTGATTGCAACATAACCTCACACATTGATGTTGCCATGTTTCTAGTATTGTTTTGTAATTATTTCTAGGTTTGTATTGGGCATAATTAATGCTGCTCAAGTAGGGTTTAGTACTAGTGTAATTTATGATATTTTCCTGATGACAACCTACCCCGATTTGCAGACTGTTAACGAATTAGAACATAGAATTATGCTAATTTGTCCTGTGTTGCTAGGCCAGCTCTCTTTGTGTTGTTGCTTATTTCTGGCAACGCTCGTTCTTTCGCTCGCTGCTTTCTGGGCGGGAATGTTGGCAGTGATTGTCTGCTCTCCAGTTTTGTTAGATTTTTAGTTGTTTGAGGTCTCAGGAACCGGGTTTTTAAGTCATATATATAGTAAAAGTTACCTTTGAATCTTTCCCAGCTCTATTCGCGTTTAGATGTTCGTTATTCTCAGTAGGCTAGGAAAACAGTTGCAAGTAGTTATTTCATGATATTTTGTGTGTTTATTTGTTAGATCTGATCAAATATAGAGCTAGTTAAAATAATAGTTCCAGTCAAATAATTGGTTGTTCTTTGAGTTGAAGGCTACATCGTCAAGTAAGTCTTTGATTTATCGTATTTTATGCTTTATTTAGTGATATGAAACTGCAATTTTAAGGTAAACAATTGTGCTGTATTTTTGGCCTTTTCAATTAATTTGTGATTCTAAATTGATAAATATTGTGCTTTTTAAGTGCTAATTAGTTAGATATTTGGTAAGTTTTATTGTGTGACATATTTTGAGACTGTTTTTTATTTCTGTTTAGAAAACCGTACAAATTGACAACTGTATACTGATTCGTACTTTCAACTGTAATTGAATTTCAATCGTACGTACACTGCATTTTAAACGTACCTTTTTCGTGACAACAAGAAATTTCAAAAGGCGATTTGTACGCGTATTTTTATTGTGGAGTCTCGAAACGATTCAGAGAGCAACCGTCCGTTAACACGTGTTGGCGCTAGATAGCGACTCCGATTTGGCGCCTACATAAGTTTTTTGACGTTTGCACAAAAGCTGAAAAGAAAATTGCACATTAATTCTGAAGTTGCCTGGTTGAAGTTAAATTAAAAATGGCAACGGCTGATGCTCACTTAAATGTCAAGGACAATGAAGATGATTCAACAACAAATGACGGTTCTGCAAAATCAGACGTTCATGAAACAACAATAATTGCAATGTCAGTTGAAACACAACCTAAATCAAGTCTTGCATTGGCAAGTGAAAATGTTGTGAGTGATCATTCTAGTGGTGTGAGTAAAGACTTGTTCCTAAGAATACCTGATGTGGATTCAGTTTCTCACCTAAGTTCGCGAAAGAGCACTAATAAAGAGAAGTCTGTAGCATCTTGTGTTGCTGAAGAAATGTCAACAAACACACACGTAATGACCACAAGATCAAAAGTGAAACAAAAAAAATCAACTGTTTTAACTCGGGATTGTTTGTCAAGAAATTCAAATAGACGAAGCTTGAAAACGTTTCGTAGTGCAAGTTATCGATCAACATCTGTTGTCCAGTCACATAAATCAGCTCTTAGTGAGTCGCAAATAGAAAACATCTATGAAGCACGAAAAATAAGTCAGCAAAGAAAAACTGAGCTAGAGAAACAACAGCTCGGTAACCGGTTGCAACAAGAAAAAGAAATTTGGGAAGAAAATAACCAAATTGAAGACTTGACACTGGAAAAAGAGTGGCAAGAACTCCTGCAACAACAACAAGTTGAGGAGGAGGAATTAAGAAAAGAAAAACAACGTCAAGAAGAAGAGTTAAGAAAAGAAAAACAACGTAAGCGAGAAGCATTTATGCGTCGTCGCCAGGAAATACAACAAAAAAGAAAGATCGAAAACGTTACATTCGATCGACGTAAACAAAGAACCCTGCAAGAAATCGAAGACAGAAGTCGACGAGAACTGCTGGGATTGGACATGGACTTTAATGAAACTTTAGCAGAAAGTGGGATAATTGTTAATAAATCCCCATCTGCTGTTATTACTAATGATACTACTAATCAACAATCGACACAAAATTCTGTAACTACACCATCAGAACCTGAACCTGATGTACAAAATGCACCTGTAATGTTACCTGTAACAACTGCACAATTTTCACAACCGCAGATCACACAAGTCACCAGAACGAATATGTTGAGTACCATGAGTAGAAGGAGGACCATCGCCGGGGAAAATGGTGAGTCGGTTTTTCCTGCCTCTGAAATTGAAATTTGCAATCCACAAAATGTTAGTGTGACTATGGGTGGTGATGTTGCAGTTGAGAATGTGTCTCATGTGCCCGAACAAATAATTAGTACTACTGGGTCATTGAATCCCAGAAATGTGTTGAATGTTAGTTCAGGAGTGGCTACTACCTGTTCTTATATGCTGAATGATAGTACCGTTGCTCCCCGGGTGAGTGTGAGTGCGTGTACTATGAACAATGTGACTCGAATACCTGAAATGAGTGTGAGTTTACCATTCACCTCACCTATTTCAAATGCTAGTCAGATTCCAATCTATACTGCTCCTAAAGCAAGTTCTGTACCTGTAGTGACTATGTCAAATAATGTCCCTTTGACAGGTGTGACCCAAATGCCTGTTATGCCTAACCAAGTTTTGTCATACCCTCAAATAATTTATGTACCCCAACCTCAGTTTGGTTTACCACCTTCGGAACACCCTACTTTTTCTGGAGATGCTGCGGAGTACAGATATTTTTTGGATATATTTGACACTGTAATTGGAAGTAGAGTTCAAAGCCCTAAAGAAAAAATGGTGTATTTGCTTAAATATACAAAGGGTCCTGCTCATGCACTGGTCAAAGGTTGCCAGCATCGTGGATCTGAATGTTATAATGAAGCAATTCAGTTGCTTGATGAAACATATGGACGAAAATATCAAATAGGGGAAGCTTGTATAAATTCAGTTTCCTGTGGTCCTAATTTAAAATTGGCTGATAAAGATGCCCTAACAATGTTTGCCGCAGAGCTGATGTCCTGTATGAATACATTGATAGGAATTGAATATAATAATGTATCTATTATGACAATTGATAAGATGGCCATGAGAATGCCTCATTCTTGGAGGGCGGGGTGGCTGTCTGTAGTTGATGACGTTTTAAATGAAAAGAAGGTGAATTTAACAGTTGAACATTTGGCGAATTATGTTCGAAAACGAACTCGTGAAAACACGAATCTGCCTTCTAATGATTCGAACTCACCTCCAAAGCAATCGAACCCTGTGAAAGGTCTGAAACCCTATAGATCAACATTTGCTACATCAGTTGTTGATAGGCCTGTACGAAAATGTGTTAAATGCAATAAAGATCATTTTTTGAATCAGTGTGTTAAATTTCGTGAATTGAACTATGAAGATAAAATTGAGTTTGTCAGGAACCGAAAGCTTTGTTTTTCATGCCTCGAACCTGGTCACTGGAGCAAAGACTGTAAGCGAACAAAGCCTTGTAAGGTTGAAGGATGCAAGAGAAGACATACAACGGTTCTTCATCCTCCAGACAAAATCCAAATTAATCATTCTGGGACAAAAGGTGATGAATCTCCTGTTTTGAAAAATTTTGGCTCTCAAACACCTGAAACTGAAACCAAATTTAATGCATTTGTTAATACATCTAAAAATGAAAAGGTTTTGCTCAATGTTATTCCTGTTAAAGTACGTGTTAATGGTGACAAAAATGCTATTGTGACAAACGCATTTTTTGATAATGGTTCCACTTGCTCATTCATAAGTGAGTCTCTTATGCACAAGTTAAATGTTGATGGTCTCAAGATAAATTTGAATGTTCGTACAATAAATAATGAGACTGAAAGTAAACAAAGTATCATTGTGAAAGGTCTTGAAATTTCGGACTTTGATGAATCTGAATATGTGCCATTGACGCCATTATTTTCAAACGATAAAATTGGTGTTGAGCAATCTGATATTCCCTCTCAAAAGGACGTGGATCAATTTATTGAATTTGAGAATGTTGTTATACCAAATATTAAATCTGAAGTGGGTCTTTTGATTGGCAAGGATAATCCTAAATTGCACAAACCATTGGAAGTTGCCTATGGCCCTCATGACTATTTTGCATCTAAGACTGTTGCTGGATGGATGATTAGTTGTCCACCTAAGAAGAATGACAATCAAGGTAATCCATGTAATTATTTTGTGAAAAATGAAGTCCATCCATTGTGTCAAATGTGCACGGATGTCATTGATTCGGCTAATAATGAAAAGGACGAAATCTCTCCTCGACAACAAATGTTTCTTGATAGGGTGAGCGAATCTATTAAGTTGAAAGATGACGGACACTATGAAATTGATTTGCCATTTATAAATCCAAATTCGAAATTACCTTCAAATTATTTGCAAGTGAAACAGCGAACCGAATCGCTCAAGCGTCGATTTATTAGGGATCCAAATTTTTATTCCGAATATAAAGATTTTGTGGAAAATATGTTAACTATGGGTTATGCAGAAGAAGTTTCTGATTCTACTGAAAGTGAAGGTCAAATTTGGTATATTAATCATCATGGCGTTTATCACCCTGAAAAGAAGAAAATTCGTGTAGTATTTGACTGCTCATCTAAATTTCAAGGAATCTGTCTTAACGACGTTCTGTTACAGGGGCCGGACCTGGCCAATAACTTGGTTGGTGTTCTGTCAAGGTTTCGCAAAAATGTGGTTGCTGTACAGGGAGATATTCGCTCAATGTTTTTACAAGTGAAGGTACCCGAAAAACACAGAAATTATCTTAGATTTTTCTGGTGGGAAGACAGCGACATAAATAAACCCATGAAAGAATTTCGCAATGACAGCTTATCCATTTGGAACGGTTTGCAGCCCAAGTTGCTGTAATTATGCATTGAAACAAGCTGCCGAAGACAATAAACATGATTTTGATATAAGTGTCATAAATGCAATTAACGATTCATTCTATGTGGATGATTTTTTCGATTCAAGACCAAATGCCGAAAGTGCCGTTTCTCTTGTGAAAAATATTTCTGCTGTCTGCGCAAAAGGCGGATTTGAAGTTTTAAAATGGATCAGTAAATGATCGCAATGTTATTGCCGAAATTCCTGAAGATATGAGATCAAAGAATTTGAAAAATTTAAATTTAGCTGTTGACGCTTACCTCTTGAACATGCTCTAGTATGATTTGGAGTGTTGATGAAGACATCTTGTGTTTCTCTGTTAATCCTAAAGAGAGACCTTGTAATAGACGTGGCATGTTAAGTGTCGTGAATTCTATTTTTGACCCAATGGGCCTGGTACAACCAGTGCTTCAGCCTGTGAAGGTTCTAATGCAAATGCTTTGCAGACAGAAGTTCAGTTGGGATGACCCAATACCGCCGGGAGTTGAACAAGAATGGCTAAAATGGCTTTCTGAGTTGCCTAAACTGAAGGAATTTAATGTACCAAGATGTTTTGTACCCGTGGATTACGGTGAAGTTGTAGAAAGTCAAATTCATCATTTTTCGGATGCGTCTGAAAAATCATATGGCGCTGTGTCTTATCTCAGGATGTTGAATTCATCTGGACAAATACACTGTGTGTTACTTGTGGAAAATCTAGGCTAGTACCATTGAAAGGCTCGACAATACCTAGACTTGAAACTGTGTTGCAGCAACTATTTCTGCGCGCAATGATAAATTTTTCAGAAATGAGCTTAAAATTGAAATTTCTGCATCTTATTTTTGGACAGATAGTACGACGGTGTTACGCTATTTGGCTAATGAGGATAGAGTATTTAAAACTTTTGTTGCTAACAGAGTAAATCTAATCAAGGAAGTTTCTGAAATTAACCAATGGTATTATGTGCCATCTAAATTGAATCCGGCTGATGTTGCCTCCAGAGGTATGTCAGTGGATGCTTTCCTGAATTATCCGGAATGGAAATCTGGTCCAAGTTTTTTATGGAAATGTCATGATGAGTGGCCTGAACAACCTGATTTCTTACATTCTGTGTCTGATGGAAATTTGGAAATTAAGAAAGAATTGCCTGAAAAATGTTTTGCTGTTGTGAAAGATCAACCATGTGTTCTGGATGATGTCGTTGCTAAATATTCAAATTGGTATCAGTTGAAGAAAATAATTGCTTGGATGTTACGTTACATAAACAAATTAAAGTCAATTGTTGGATCAAACTGCAATTTGAAATCTGGACCTGTTGAATCTTTAACTGTAGAAGAAATGATTCTGGCTGAGGTGGAAATTATAAAGCATGAACAAAGAAAATACTTTTTAAGCGAAATTGATGTTTTGTTCAAAGGAAAACAAATTCCAAAATCAAGCTCTTTATGTAATTTACAACCATTCTTGGAAAACGGACTACTTCGTGTAGGAGGTAGGATCAGAGCAGCAAATGTTGAGTTTAATGCAAAGCATCCAATTATTATCCCAAAAGAAAGTAAAATTGCTTCTTTGATAATAGATTATGTCCACAGAACAACTGGTCATAACGGTCGTGAATATGTGTTAGCTGAAATAAATCAAAAGTATTGGATCGTAAAAGGTAATGCTTTGGTGCGAAGTGTTTTGAGAAGATGTGTTCCTTGCAGGAAGAGACAACGTTCTCCTGAATCTCAATTAATTGCGGACTTACCTGAGAATCGCTTGATACCGGATAAACCTCCTTTCACATATGTTGCAGTGGATTGTTTCGGTCCATTCTTGATCAAGCAAGGAAGGAGCGAGGTTAAACGTTATGGTGTGCTTTTTACTTGTTTAGTGTCGCGCGCTGTACATGTGGAAATAGCAAACAGTCTGGACACTAGTGCTTTCATTATGTCTCTTAGAAGATTCATAGCAAGGAGAGGTCAAGTTCTTGAGATGCGATCTGATAATGGCACTAACTTCGTCTCTGGTGAACGAGAACTCAGAGATGCGATTAAATCTTGGAACAAAAACCAAATTCATGATTATTTGTTACAGAAAAACATCAAATGGATATTTCAAACGCCTGCTTCATCTCATCATGGTGGTGTGTTTGAGAGACAGATTAGAACTATAAGGAAAATCTTTAATGCTATTTGCTGCGAACAAGTGTTGACAGATGAGAGTTTAAGAACTCTTATGTGCGAATGCGAAAATATTGTGAATGGACGACCGATAACTACGGTATCGAACGACCCTAAAGATTTAACTCCATTAAGTCCAAACAATTTATTACTGATGAAAGAGGAACCAATGCTTCCTCCAGGTGTGTTTGACCCCAAGGACATGTATGTTCGAAAGCGTTGGAAGCAAGTCCAATATCTTGCGGATGTTTTCTGGAAACGTTGGAGAAAGGAATTCCTTCCGCTTCTTCAATGTCGACAAAAATGGAACAAAATGCAACGAGATCTTCAAAAGGATGACATTGTACTTGTTGTGAATGAGAATCAACCACGAAACACTTGGTTGCTGGGACGAGTCATTGAAACTTACCAGGATAGCAAGGGTAGGGTTCGTTCCGTGGGTGTTCAAACCAAACATTCCATATTCCAACGCCCTGTGACAAAACTTGTACTTCTGCGTGAGTGTGATGAAGCATGATTTGATAACTTTTCAATTTCGTTTTAAAGAATTTCTTTCTGGCATGGTTGTTGAGTGTGTTTGATGTGTTTTGAGTGTGTGGAAATCTTGTAAATTTGTGGATGCAAATTTTAAATTTCCAAGGGGCCGGGATGAAACCGCCTCGCATTTGTTTTCGTTTATTTCACACTTGACTGATTTTGTGATTTGCGTTTTCTGTGATTGCAACATAACCTCACACATTGATGTTGCCATGTTTCTAGTATTGTTTTGTAATTATTTCTAGGTTTGTATTGGGCATAATTAATGCTGCTCAAGTAGGGTTTAGTACTAGTGTAATTTATGATATTTTCCTGATGACAACCTACCCCGATTTGCAGACTGTTAACGAATTAGAACATAGAATTATGCTAATTTGTCCTGTGTTGCTAGGCCAGCTCTCATTGTGTTGTTGCTTATTTCTGGCAACGCTCGTTCTTTCGCTCGCTGCTTTCTGGGCGGGAATGTTGGCAGTGATTGTCTGCTCTCCAGTTTTGTTAGATTTTTAGTTGTTTGAGGTCTCAGGAACCGGGTTTTTAAGTCATATATTTAGTAAAAGTTACCTTTGAATCTTTCCCAGCTCTATTCGCGTTTAGATGTTCGTTATTCTCAGTAGGCTAGGAAAACAGTTGCAAGTAGTTATTTCATGATATTTTGTGTGTTTATTTGTTAGATCTGATCAAATATAGAGCTAGTTAAAATAATAGTTCCAGTCAAATAATTGGTTGTTCTTTGAGTTGAAGGCTACATCGTCAAGTAAGTCTTTGATTTATCGTATTTTATGCTTTATTTAGTGATATGAAACTGCAATTTTAAGGTAAACAATTGTGCTGTATTTTTGGCCTTTTCAATTAATTTGTGATTCTAAATTGATAAATATTGTGCTTTTTAAGTGCTAATTAGTTAGATATTTGGTAAGTTTTATTGTGTGACATATTTTGAGACTGTTTTTTATTTCTGTTTAGAAAACCGTACAAATTGACAACTGTATACTGATTCGTACTTTCAACTGTAATTGAATTTCAATCGTACGTACACTGCATTTTAAACGTACCTTTTTCGTGACAACAAGAAATTTCAAAAGGCGATTTGTACGCGTATTTTTATTGTGGAGTCTCGAAACGATTCAGAGAGCAACCGTCCGTTAACGCGTGTTGGCGCTAGATAGCGACTCCGATTTGGCGCCTACACTACTAATTGTAGAAAACATGGTAAATAGTTAAGTTAACAGGAAACAATTTTTTGGCTTTGTTAATTCGATAATGTTTGTCGATGGTGTAACTGTTAGCATTGTTGCCTTCCAAGCAATAGTTCCGGGTTCGACTCCATGTTGACGCATATGTTCATTCCTATTTTGTGTCATTTTCCTTAAATGGTCCATTGGCTTTCGCTCTTGCTTTTACTTCGTTTGTATGCAAACGTGTAACATCTATTTCTTGACTACAAATCAAATCTTTATAGACCACAGTGTCCATATTCCCGAAAGTTTGTTTGTTTGCAGTCCAGACAATCCATCCTATGTTCTCTGCCAGCCAGCGTTTGTTGTAATTGATGAGGTTTTTTCAATCATTAGCTAACGTCGCGTCGATGGTTTTACGGTTAGCATTTTTGTCCAAGTATTATGTCAGGGTTCGATTCCCGGTCGACGCAGATGTGCGTTATGTGTGCAAACGCGTTATTCTTTGTTGACTACGAATCAAGCCTTGTCCATTTTTTCGAATGATTGTTTGTTTACATTTCAGGCTATTTAACCTATTTATTACCGAAACCAGTTACAAATTAGCTGGCATATCCCTCTCAACCAGATAGCTATTTTGTAATTCTCTTGTCATCAGCTGTTATCTTGTCTCAGCTGTTATTCTATTATAACTTTAAAATTTAACGTTCACGGCAGCGGCCGCCACAGCTCAGTGGTATCGTAACTAGTCGAACTATAACTTGTGAATGTTTATACACGATAACGTCGGCTTCGATGGTGTAACGGTTAGCATTGTTGCCTTCCAAGCAATACTATGTTCCGGTGTCCGCCATCTTGGTTCACATACTTCGGGAGTACCTTTGTTTTTTACATTCCCGGTTTACTCCCGGTCGACGCAGAGAATAAAATCGACTACATGAAAAAAAAGGCATTCTTTAGTTTAGATAATCGCCATATTTGTTTGAGCTTGCGCTAATTCACGTGGGTGTATTATCATATTTTCGCGTTTTTTTATGTTTAGAGTCATGCCGTAATTTTTTCTTCCTCTTTTCCCTATACAGGTAGTCCTCGACCTATGACGTTGTTCCGTTTTCGAAACGCGTT